ATATATATATATATATATATATGAAATTATTACAAATAAGATATAATATGAAATTATGTATCTACAAATTTAATAATTGCAGGTTACTTTGAAGCATGTCAAAGAAACTTCAAAAAAACATTAAAGGCAACAATAATATATTTTATTAATTTTTTAAATATAAATAAATAAAAACAGATTATCAACTTAAAGAAAGAAATTGTTATTATTAATAACCTTTTACAAAAAATAATGACATTTTAGATGTATTTATAATAGTAATAACATTAAATACAATAAAAAATACAGCACCTTTATATTATTTTTTTAATATAATGCATTTGTCGTATTTAATAATCTGGTTTATCAAACTCTGATAATATAAACTAAAAATATGTTTTAAATAAGAAATTAAATAAATTCAACTTTTAAATTCAATGAACAAAACAAACATATTTCAGGTACAGAAGATTATCTCTTCAAAGAAACTTAATAGAAATAAAAAATTCAATCTTATCGAGTAAAATTCGAGTAAAAAAAAAACTAATCAATAAAAATATTGTAAACTATAAACTAAAAGTTTATTTTCATATTATTCTAAAGATATTACCTCTTGTTCCTCAATTTTTTGTTTTATCAGTTTTTCTTTTTCTATTAATATTTTTTCTTTTTCTATAGATAATTTTAATAATTCTACTTTTAATTTTTCTGTTTCTAATTTGTTCTTTAACGTTTCCATTTCGTACATTTCTTTTTCTTCTATATTAGCTTTTTTATTACATGCTATTTCAGTATTTTTTAGTTTTGAAATCTTATTGCACTGGCTGATTTCATCATGCTTCCTTTTTTTACCAATAGTACATGTTGATGTTGTTGGTATATCCTCTTCTTTATTTTGTAACGGAAAACTTATTTGTGATTTTAATTTCTTGCTATTCCAAATTGTCCAATCATTAATTTCTTTATTCTTTATTAAATGCTAAAAATTTTAAATGTTTTGTGTTAAATATTATATATTTATATTTTGTTAATAACTTTGTATTATTGAGTTATGAATTTACTGTAAATACTTCAGTTGAATTGCTTTCATCATTTGTATCTTGTAAAATATCATCAACTGTTATAATGTTTTCTTTATTATAAATGAAATCTGAATCATAGGGATTTAATAATCCATTTGTTGCTGTTTCCCCCATAATTTCTTTAGCTCGTCCATATAACATATTTTTTTCTAAATTAGACACACCTCCACCTACAAATTCGATAACAAAGTATAATACTTTTCTAATTTTAACATTAATATAATAATATAATACCATTAATTATATTAATATACATATCGTCCCTCTTATACCAAAATCATAAATGTGCAAATTTTCTTTAATCTCTTTGTGAAATTTATTTTATACTACTTGATAAGGTATTTACAAAGCTAGGAGCTTCAGAGGATATTTTAAATATCCTAGGATATTTTAAATACTTAGTTCTGAAGCTTTGTAAATACAAAATCAAATAATACAAAATAAATGTTACAAAGAAAAATGAGATTAAAATTTGCACATTCGTGGTTTTGACATAAAAGGCACGATATAACATTTATACCTGTTTTATAAATTTCTCGCTTAAATGTAGCGCAATATTTTCTTGTTTCTTTTTTTATATTATCCCATAAATATTTTAAATTTTTTTCTGTTCGTTGTATCGTATTACGTGCATTAAATTCCTTTGTAACATTTGCCCACGTTTCTATCTTTTTTAAAATTATATTATTATTGCATTCTTTATTTTCTATTATGTGTCGATATAAAAAAATAATGTCTAATAAACTATTTTATCACTAGTTGTGAAGTTTCTTGATCGTTGCATTGTTATCTATTTTAATTGTTAATATATTTATATACTCTTTCACTTTTATATCACTTTCTTTTTATTGTGTATTTAACGTGCCGTCACCGTGCTAAAAGATTACAGGTTAGGATCAGTTAGAATCGATGACGTGTATTTTAGTTACAAGTTTCGAAGTTGGCTATTCTGAAAAGTTAACGGACGGTTAGGCTTAACCGACGTTGGAAAAAGTGGCCCTAAGTGTATCACGACTTGTAAAAAATAGCGTCCGCATACGCAAGGAATCTTTTAAATAAAGAAACCTATTAAACTATACAACACACAAGAACCTTTTTTTTAATTATTGCAGTTGTATATAAATAACTATTAATATATTTACACTAAATTTACTTTTTTGTCATATTATAAGATTTTCTTCCATATAATGCAAAGAACAAAATTTAAAAAATTATTTTTTCAAGATGTTATTGGTCGCAATACAAGTGTTCAAACTATAAAACTTTCATATGATACATTATTTAATAATATCTCAACTTGAGATTCTCAAGTAGTTCATAAAATATATCGAAAAAAATCAAAAATCCTTGAATCTTTGAAAGATGATTTGACACCTCAAAATTGTTTTTGGTATTAATTGAAAATTTTTTTATTAAAGTATTTACTTCATTCACGAAAAATTTCAATAAAATCAAAATTTTTGGATTCTCGACATTTCTCATTAATGAGCAAAAGAAAATTGTGCGTATCTTAGATGGAATAAATTATAACTCATTTATTTTAACATGCTGATTTATTAATGGTAATGTATCAATTTTACACTTGCATTGTATTTGTTAGAGCCAATTACTCACACAATAATTTTAAAATCAATACTAGTTAAATATTTAAATTTACAAATTTTTATTTGCCCATTACATTTTGGACATTGTCTCCAAAAAAGTTTTAATGTCAAATTCAAAGTTCATAAAACGCTTAAAATATTATGACAGAGATACATAAGTATAAAAACATAATAAAAAAAATAAAATGGCAGTAAAATATTTGACAGTTAATTAAAGAATAGTTATTAAATTATACATGTCTGAAAAAATGCATTGTTCGTTAAACCGATTTACATTATAAACACAGATATTTGAATACACTTATGTAATTATTATATAAAAAATAATGTGTAAAACTTATATATACACTGTTATTATTTTATATATATATAAAAGTAATAAAAAATATACACATAATATATATCTTTTTTATTACTATAATATAATTTATATATACATTATTATACTATATTTATACCTATATATATAGTGTAACTGTTTGTATATAGTAATTAATATGCTAATTACTAATTACACTTTTCACATATGGCAGTTTCTTCAGATACTGCAAATCATTTATTATATATACTCCAAATCGTATATATATATATTACATTATATATATGTATATATATGTATATATATATAATGTTATTGCATGGTATATAATAAACAATTTGTAAATTACACATCATAGATATGGCAGTTTCTCCAGATATCTCAAATCATTTAAATTGTCATAGTCATGATTGATGCTGATCGTAATATTTGAATATAAAACCTTTGTCAAATCTGGATGGGATAAATCTATGAGAAATTTTTTAATACTTATTAGAAAGGCATATTAATTATTTTGCTGGAGGTATGCACACAATAAAAGTATATTAAGCTTGACTCAAGAAAAATAAAAATTTCAAATATAATATTAAAGCTTACCGTTCTTTTTCTTTAACGTTGTGCACTTGTTGATGGCACAGGCATATTGGTTTCTCCTTGTGGATTTCGATTTTCTTCCAACACATTTGAATGTTTACTAAATATGTGATTACGTAAAGCATACTGACGAGTAACTTTAATCATAGCAAAACATTCAGTACACATCACAGTATCTTTATCAAGCTCTATAATATAGTTCCACATAAATCTCGATTGAAAATGTTCTTTTATATTTGCATCTATGCCATGTTCCTTATTTAAATGTGCATTCAAACATTTGCTTAAAGTTTTGATCAAATAACTCTTATTACAACGATTACATTGCATGCGCGAATCGTCAATTTCTCTGAAATACTGCCACTTCGAATGACGAATTCTATTCCTGTCTACATTTGGATGGCGGCGATTTGTGAAATGCTTATTCACCTTCATCATATCTCGGTACATCAAAGTGGTTCGATTAGAACGTGGACACAATTTACATTGTGCTCGAAAATTCTCCAGCTTTTCAAAATATTCCAACTCCCATTCTTCTTCATCGTATGGTATAGACATTCTGGCCGGCTTATGCAATGGTAATATCGAATAACTGAGTAAGAAGAAAAAAAGAACGAACGTGGCAACATGAGATAATGCTTTAAAATTAATAAAAATTTCTAATATAATAGTATTAATAAAACTTACCGTTGCTTTTTCTTTATCGTCGTGTACTTGTTGATGACCTAGGCACATTGATTTCTGTTTGTGTATTTGCGTGTGGTGTCTTTCGAGTATGTACTTGTTTATATGACACAAAAAACTAAACTTTCAGATCCAACCACACTATTTGCAATGCGCGCAATAATCATTATGCTGCCTAATATCCTTTTATTTGAAGCTCATAAACGAGACGTGGCATCTTCTTTTCAAAGTAGTTTATATTAAGATAAATGTCTGATTAATGGCGTCGCCTTGAATGTATTCAAATATTTATGACAAATATTGCATTAAACGTGTAAATTTTATTGCAGTCAGATCTAATAAACTTTTTTATTTGCTTTTATATATAGATGTGTATATTTAAAATTGCGTCTTTATGTTTTCATATTGCAGTCATATAAGTAGCACACATTATATATTTTGCATGAAACTTATCAATTTTTTAAAATATTTTTACTCCCATTCTTCAAGATTATTTGATATTGAGATTTTGACTGGTTTATCCGACAAAGTGCATCTAGTGAATCAAGCAAACCCAGAAATTTTAATCTTATCAAAATTTTGCACATATGTAAATGCGGTAAATACAAAAGTATAAAAATTTTCAGTTTTCAATTTTCGACTTATTTAATGAACTATTAGATAATAGTTTATTCCAACATATATTCATTTCAACATATTCTGTTCAATAAAAAATTTTTTGTTTAATCATTGCAATTATATATAAATGAATTTCAATATTTGGACTAAAAATATTTTCCTGTTATATTATAATGCAAAAAATTTTTCTCGACTTAAAGAATGCAAAAGGCAAAATTTAAAAAAAAATATTTTTTTATTAGTCGCAATAAATAGAGATGTTTATACTATAAAATTTGTGTATAATACATTTTTAGATATTTCAAATAATTTATAAAAAATATCGACAAAATCAAAAGCTTTTGAATCTTTGGGAGGTGCGTTTACATCTTAAAATCGTTTTTGATAGTTACTTAAAATTTTTATATTTATATGTTTATCTCATCTATATGTACGAAAAGTTTCATTAACATCAGATTTTTGGATTCACGACTTTCCATCTTTAATAAGCGAAACAAAAATGTGCACTGTGGGAAAATTTAATTATGGCAAAACGTGACATGTAAAATTATTTTCTGTAAAAATTAAGCTTGTTTCTGACAATTTGTAATTTGCGACAGAGTTTGAGATAAAAATCAATTCATGATGTTATTAATAGGACGCATTATTTTTATCCTCTCTTGACTTAGCGCAATTCCTTCTTTCCTCCCTTTTGAACAATTTTGTGTCTTTTTACTTCTGTTACTTTTCTCGAGGGTGTGCATATGATATTTATACAACAAAAACAAGTGAGAAATGGTAATTATACCAAGTAATAATTATAATAAAGTATTAGAACAAAATTGGCATTAATAAAATGAAAGAAAAACATAAATGCAAATACATTAATAAGATAATAATTACAAAAATATATTGCTGTAATTTTCATTATCAAATGTAAGAACTATCAAGTACATTTAATATTTTCCAATATTATTAGAATGATAAAAAAGAAGAAATATAGAATAAATCAACCAAATTTAACAGTATGTTGGATTGAATAATTTACAATATTCTTATTTTAAAATGCCATTTTATTAATGATAATGTGTCAGTTTTGCACTGCGTTTGTTACAGCCAAATAATCACACAATAATTTTAAAATCAGTACTAACTAAAAATCTAAAATAACATATATTCACTTTCATATAACATGTCGGGCATTAACTCCACAAAAGTTATAGTGTCAAATGCAAATTATATGACACATGTAAAATAATGAAGATACATAAATGTAAAAACATTGTGAATGAAGTAAAAGTCAATTATTTGGCAGTAGTGATAAATGAATAGTTATCAAATTATGTGCATATTTGCAGAAAGTACATTGTTTGATAAATCGATTTACGTTATAAACACAAATATTTGTATACACATATGTAATAATTATATAAAATATAAAAAGGACTTTTATGAACATCGTTATTATTTTATATATATATATATATATATAAGTAATATATATTAATAAAAATAATATATATTATATACGTAATATATATATAGTAACACATTATGCGTGTGTGTTTTTACACACACACACACAATATAGATATATATATTTAGACTTGTACATAATATAATTGTCTAATATAAAAAAATAATATAATTACACATATACTCGTATGTCATAGATATATAGTAATTTTCTTAAATATTTCGAATTATTTAAACCATCAAAATCGAGATTGTTGCTATTGCTGGTTCTGATATTTGAATGTACAATCGTTGTCAAATCTGTTCTAGATAAACCTATAAAAATTTTTTAAATATTTGTTAAAAAGACATGTTCATTGTTTGATTTGTGATATGTACATAATATACATATATAAGTTTATATTCAATATTATTTAAGAAAAGTAAACATTAATATAATACTATTAATAAATATTACCATTGTCCCTTCTTTAACATTGTGTACTTCTTGATAGCTTAAGTAGTTTTCTTTATATACACTCTTGTCTTGATTTGATATATTCTATATTCCATATACTTATGTGGCTTCTGAATATGTGGTTGTTCATGCGACGAGTAGAAATAAACTCTATAAACTCATCACATATTTTACACCGCAAAGACTTATTGTATTTATCATGCTGTAATGTATAGCAACGAATAAAGCTCATGTGATAAGATGTATCTTCTTCTGGAATTCTATTGTGCTCAGTTAATAAATGTCTGCCTAATTCTGTCGTTAACGTCAGAACTGAGAATAAATTACGACATATAAAGCATTGCATGTATGAATCACTAATTCTATCGAATGTTTGTCTTATCCAACGAGTTTTAGCAATTGTTTGTATATTTGGATGTTTTAGTTTAAAATGAAGATTCACGAATTGCAAATCGTAATAAATAATTTTCGTATGAACTGGAACAACATCTTTCATACACAATTGACATATTGCTTGATAATCTTTGCACTTTTTAAAGTATTTCCACTCCCATTCTTCTTCTTTGTTTGGTGTAGACATTTTGGCCATTTAATGCGATAGAGTGCAAATAACTAAGAAGGTAAAAAATAAAGAAAGCAACGTAAGATTAACTAATATTAATAAAAATTTCTAATATAATAATACTAATGAAACTTTCCGTTGCTTTTTCTTTATCGTTCAATGCTTGTTGATGGCCCAGACACGTTTATTTCTCTCTGTTTACGATGTGTTATTCTACTGCTCATGTATATAGATGTCTTTCGAGCATGCGCTTGTTAGACCAGAAGAACTAACATAAGAATGAGCTTTAAGATCCGATCACACTCTATACACTGCACACAATAATTATCCTATGTAATATGCTTCCATATAAAGTTGGAACATGTGTTTTCTTCCAGATAAAGTTCGAACATTCTTCTTCTACAAATATTGTATGTCGCGATTAATGTGTAATTGACAATTTTATTGCAGCCAGATCCATTAAACTTTCCTATGTATGTTTTTATATTTGCATCTGAATTTTTGAAATGTTCATATATGTTGCTCATATTGCAATCATATAAGTAGCTGCTCACAATATATATTTTGCTTGAAAATTCATCAACTTTTCAAATTATTTCCATTCCCATTCTTACTTAATTGTTTTTACTTGATGAAGAGATTCTGACTGTTTTATGCGACAAAGTGCAAATAACTAACTGGTGAATCTCGCAAACCCAGAAATTTTTAATCTCAACGAAACTTTGCACATATATAAATGCGGTAAATACAAGAATATAAAAATTTTTATTTGTTATCAGAAACGATTTTAAAAAGTAAAATCGCCTTTCAAAGATTTAAATACTTTTAATTTTAAATGATATATTATATTTGACTATTTGAGATATCAAAAAATGTACTGTATAAAAGTTTTATAGTTCAAACGTCTCTATTTATTGCGACCAATAAAATTTGAAATAAATAATTCTTTTTAATTTTTGCATCCTTTATGAGAAAGAATATTTCTCGCATTATAGTAGAAAAATAATTTTATTTTAAATATATTAAAAATTATTTATATACAATTGCAATAATTAAAAGAAAACGAATAAAATATGCATTAAGATGCGTGTAATAAATAATTGTAATAAACATATTTGTATTGCTAAATTGTGTCATAATAATCTACATGTATTACAAAAACCGCTTTAAAAATATATAGTGTGAAAGCTCACATCGTCATCACAGCGTTAGGTGTAGAACAGATGAACGCGAGATACGACGCGCATCTTGATGCATTCTGTTCAATACACATGTGCGCGCTTATTTGTATCGCGCGCCTTTTTCCGTGTTTTGTTTGGCTGCGTGAGGGGAACCCCTCAAATATCGTGCCCCTCCTTTAGTGTGATGCGGATGGGTGTGCCGCGCGCCAAGAGTAGTAGTAGAAGCGCCTCTCTAAGTGTATCACGACTTGTAAAAAATAGCGTCCGCATACGCAAGGAATCTTTTAAATAAAGAAACCTATTAAACTATACATGGTCCTTCGAGCCGGATTAGTGATTCGGATTGGAAATATTGAGTTTAGCAACGAGTCGTGTACACTCAAGGCACGCCAAGAATTTCTGGATGCCATAGGGAGATTATTGTTCGCCATTATTGAAAGCACATTACACGTGCATCTCGCATTCGTTGCTATTTGGTTGCAATTTGGTTTGCAAAGCAACGATTTATCGCAATCTCGAGCGTCATTCTTTGATTCCCAACGGAATATTGAAACGCACGAGTCATTTACATAACCTTTCGACGTCATTGCATTGGACTGAAACAGAAGCACTTCAAGGTGTCCATAACCTCGGACGTAACGTGGATCGGCACCAGCATCGGCACCAGTCAAGGAACTTTTCGCACCGTCGACAATTGAAGTGAGAGGAACATAATACGGTGGATATTTGGACATTGCCGGCGCTTCGGACATCGCATCAATCGAGAGCGTCACATCGCATCGAATCTACACGCAAGTAGTATAAGGCTAGCGATACATTGTAGTGAAAAGAATCTATAACATTTTGTCAATTGTATTAGTCATAATCTTAGGCTATCGTTTGTCAACTAACAGTTAGTTTATCGTCGTTCACAAAATGTCAGCACTCTCAGCAACCGAAGCGAGAAACAGGCGCAAGACCATTAAGGCTATGGTCACGCGAATCAGACATTTCATAGAGGCCTCGGATTCTACTCAATTGTCAAGTTTCGATTTAACAGAACGAAGCAAAAAAATTGCATAATTTATGGGATCAATACGATGAGATACAAACGCGTATTGAAACATTAGATCTCGCGAGTAATGGAGATAGAGACGAAGCCGCTTTGCATAAGCATCACAGTGACGAACGTGCTAATTTTGAAACAACGTATTTTAATCTCGTAGCTTGTCTAGAAGCAAATATTCATAATTTGGAACGCCGTGAAAATCGGGAGAACGCCGAACCTCAGAATTCTGTCGCACAACTTCACAATAATTCTATGTCGTCTCAACTTCGCTTACCAAAAATTGAATTACCATCCTTCACAGGAAATTCTGAGGATTGGTATACCTTTTACGACTCATTTGAGAAATTGATCAATTCTAATCCACATCTTTCTGAAATCCAGAAATTCCATTATTTGAGATCGTCTCTTAAGGGTGAGGCTGCTGAGGTCATAAAGGCATTCGAAATCACAATCGAAAATTACAAGGAGGCATGGGAACTACTGATTGAACGATATGACAATCGGCGACGCATCGTTCAAGGTCATATCAAATCGCTGTTCGATTTACCAGTTATGTCTAAGGAAAATCATTCGCAATTGCGTGTCTTACTCGATGGGGTTTGCAAGCACTTACGTGCGCTCAGAGCGTTGGAAAGGCCTGTCGAACAGTGGGACGATCTTATTATTTATTTGGTCACTTCCAAATTGGATGCAGCCACAAAAAAGGAGTGGGAAATCAGTCGTTCGGACTCTTCAATTCCCACTTTCAAACAGCTCAAGGATTTTCTTCTTCAAAGATGTCTGGCTTTAGAAGCTATTGTAAGCAAGTCTACTAGCACGTCCATTACAGGTAATAATGTTGCATTGCCAAAGACAAAAAGGACAGTGGCAAATGCAGCCACAGCAAATCTTGCATGCGAATGTTGTAAAGAGAATCACTTCATTTATCAATGTAACTCGTTCAAAAAATTGTCTGTAGACAAGCGTTTTAAAATCGTAAAAAATTCACGTTTATGCATCAATTGTCTAAAAACTAACAAGCATCAAGCCAAAACTTGTCCTTCTTCGTCTTGTCGCAAGTGTCAAAAGACGCACAACACTCTGTTGCATTCTGAATCAAATACAGAACCAGAGATCAATCAAAATGTATCTTCAGATGACAAGGAAATGTCTATTCCTGTAGTCACACAATGTTCGTTACAAAATCCCTCGAAAATACTTCTATCTACCGCAATAATACACGTAGAAGATTCAAGGGGCAAGGCTCATGCCTGCCGAGCATTATTAGATAGCGGCTCGCAGCTAAATTTTGTAACTGAGGATTTCGCCAAAAGGTTGCGCTTGAATAAACAATTCATAAATATGCCAATTTCGGGCATTGCACAGGGTAGTATCAATGCAAAAAATTCAATCAATTTAACAATACAGTCTCGATTTAATAGATATCGAGATCGATTAAATTGCATTATCTTGCCGAACATAACTCAAAAATTGCCACAAGACTTTATTCATCTTTCGCGATTCAAAATCCCTCCGAATATTCAATTAGCAGATCCTAATTTTAACGTACCTAATGACATTGATCTCTTGATAGGAGCCGAGGTATTTTGGCAACTCTTATCCATAGGCCATATTAAGGCGTGTCAGGATCATCCTACAATCCAAAAAACGAAACTTGGTTGGATTCTTTCGGGTCATATCGTTGACCCTCTCGTTCAGAGAAAAGGAAAGGCTGCTCTTTGTCATGTAAGTACAATTGACGATCTTAACAAGGCCATCTCCAAATTTTGGCAAGTAGAAGACAATTATCGTCATAACACAAATGTCTTTTCACCTGAGGAGCTCGCTTGTGAGACACTTTTTCAGGAAAGCACTCTGCGAAATGATGAGGGTAGGTTCATCGTCAAACTTCCCATCAGAAATGATATAATCTCGCAAGTAGGCGAATCCAGAGAAATTGCAGAACGTAGATTTTTCGCATTGGAAAGACGATTATCGAAACAACCTGATATTTATGAGGAGTATCGTAGATTTATGCGTGAATATCAGGACCTTAATCACATGAATCCGATTGAAGTAACAGCAGAGCATGATAACAATATTCAATATTATTTGCCTCATCACGCAGTTCTGAACAATACAAGCACCACAACCAAGCTGCGTGTTGTCTTTGACGCCTCGTGCAAATCTAAGTCGGGAAAGTCATTAAATGACGCTTTGCTTGTTGGTCCTACCATCCAACAGGATTTATTCTCAATCTTATCTCGTTTTCGTACATTTCGCTTTGCAATGACAGCCGACATTGCAAAGATGTATAGACAAGTTCTTGTTGATCCATCTCAGCGATGCCTTCAACGTATTTTTTGGCGTGATACTCCACAGCATAAGTTGAAAACGTTCGAACTCGCCACTATAACATATGGCACAGCTTCAGCATCATTCTTAGCTATACGCTGTTTACAAGAACTCGCACAAGAGGGTTCGACTTTATTTCCAATAGGATCAAAAATCATTTTGAGAGATTTTTATGTTGATGATATGCTCACTGGTGCTTCCACTCTAAATGAGGCTTTACATATCAAGGAGCAAACAATGGCCTTACTTCAAAAAGGTGGCTTCAAATTAAGAAAGTGGTTCTCGAATAATTCTCTACTGCAAGACGAGTGTCTTGCAATTGACAAGGAAATTGATGCGGGAAATGAATGTGATAAAACTCGTGCCTTAGGAGTGTTTTGGAATTGCAAACGAGACACTTTCAACTTTGTAAATTCTAATAATTATCAATCATCAATAAAGCCAACCAAACGAAACATTTTAGCGAGAATTGCATCAATCTTTGATCCCTTGGGATTTTTAGGCCCTGTAATAGTAGTTGGAAAGCTTATCATGCAGGAATTATGGTTGCTAAAAATCGATTGGGATGAATCAATTCCCATGGATCTTATCACGAAATGGCAAGATTATGAGCAGCAATTAAAATGCTTAAGCAATATTGAAATACCCCGCAAGATAACAGTTGATGAGCCAAAACTTCTTGAAATACATGGTTTTGCCGATGCCAGTCAGCAAGCCTACGGGGCATGCGTATATCTACGCTCTTTATCTCCTAACGGTGAGTTTAAGGCTCATATGATCGCATCCAAATCTCGTGTGTCTCCGGTTAAGAGTATCTCAATCCCGCGTTTAGAGCTCTGCGGAGCACTTTTGCTTGCTCAGCTAATCGACAAATTACATAGATGTTTAGATCTCGAAATCAAGGCTACATACTATTGGACTGACTCTAGTATCGTTCTGCACTGGCTAAGAGGAGTTAGTCGTAACTGGACAACCTTTGTCGCCAATCGCGTAGGCGAAATTCAATCGCTGTCATTGATTGAGAATTGGCGGCATGTATCGAGTAAGGAGAACCCAGCAGACTTACTTTCGAGGGGCGTTATGCCCGAACTGTTAGCACAATCAACGACTTGGTGGCACGGGCCTGAGTGGTTGGAAGGTATGGACTCTGGATGGCCTGTTTCTGTCATAGACGCGCCAAACGATATCCCGGAAAAAAGGGGATCTAGCAAATCTTGTTCCTCTTTCATCGTCACTTTGGAATCAAAATTCGATATATTTGAGAAATATTCAAGCTATAAAAAACTCATAAGAATCTTTGCATTCTGCTTGCGATTTATCAATGCAATCAAACATAAGCAAGATAAATTCAATCATAAGTGTTCAAACGATAACTTGATTAAACAAGTACCACCATGTTCCAGTGAAGAGTTAGAAAACGCCAAATTGGCTCTCGTTAAAATGGTGCAAAGGAGTTCGTTCAAAAGGGAGATTGACGATATCTCTAAATTCGGTGTCGTAAACAGGAAAAGCTCGGTATTAAAGTTAAATCCTTATCTAGACGCGAATGGAATTCTGAGGGTTGGTGGTCGTCTGAAGCACTCAAAATTATCATATGATGCAAAACATCCTATTTTAATACCCGGTCGTCATAGCTTTACCCGGCTAATTGTAATTCATGAACATACCCGATTGCTTCATGCTGGGGCTCAAATGACTCTGTCCGCGATTCGACAAAATTTTTGGCCATGCATTGGGCGTAGTGTCGTGCGTAATATTATAAGTAAATGCGTAATCTGCTTCCGTAATGTTCCCAAGTTATCCAATACCCTAATGGGAGATTTACCTGAATCTCGCGTTAGTGTCTTCAAGAGACCCTTTGAAAAATGCGGAGTCGACTATGCAGGTCCGATGTATTATAAGGAAGGACAGCGTAAAAATTCGCGATTAGTCAAATGTTTCATTTCTATATTTGTATGTTTTGCGACAAAGGCTGTACATATAGAATTAGTTGGCGACCTTACTACGGAGACTTTTTTGAATGCGCTGAAACGATTTATTTCCCGAAGAGGTCGACCAAGTGACATTTACTCTGATAATGGCTTGAATTTCGTCGGTGCTGAGCATCAGCTTAGCGAACTGTACGACATTCTCAATGATGATAAGTCAAGAAGAAAAATAATTGAAAATACAAGCGGTGAACGTATAAACTGGCATTTCATTCCACCGAGGGCCCCACACATGGGAGGGCTTTGGGAAGCAGCAGTAAAGGCCGCAAAATTTCATATCAAACGCATTATCGGAGGGGCTTCATTGCGCTACGATGAATTCTTGACACTATTAGTACAGATTGAGGCCATTCTCAACTCGAGACCGCTTACTCCATTATCAGCGGATCCAAACGATCTGTCAGTTCTCACAGCAGCGCATTTTTTGATAGGTTGCCCTATCACGTCGTATCCAGAAGCAAGTCTGGAAGGATTAAATGAGAATCGATTAACAAGATGGCAACGCGTCGAACAATTACGCCAACATTTTTGGAGGCGATGGACCAAAGAATATTTACATAATTGTCAGCAACGGAGCAAGTGGAACACGGTTGGAATTCCTGTGACAGTAGGACAATTGGTAATAGTGCAAGAAGACAATTTGCCTCCGTTAGTCTGGGCTTTAGGTCGTATTGAAGAAACTTGTCCAGGAGATGATGGAATAGTGCGCGCAGCATTAGTGCGTACCGCTAAGGGTATTTACAAACGCCCTATTACTAAACTTTGTATGCTTCCTATAGATTAAGTCTCGTCAGCGTTTATTTTCCTTGCGTTCATTCACATAGTATATAAG